ATTTAGGGATTGAGGATTGGTATTTTACCTGAATATCTAGAAAAGTATTTTCTTTAGTCAACTACGTAGTAAAAGAAAAATCAGTGGCTCTATGTCATATGTTAACACATTCTGAACAAGGGTGTAAGGTGAAAAATGTTACTTCTTAACCAACTCCCTTAAGCATACTAAGAATTGTAATAACAATTAATAATGTATAAGTAGTATAAATTGAATTATGTTAAAATGTATCTGGTCTAATTTTATGGTTAGGAAGAAAACTAAATTAGTAAGAACAAACTCAGGGTTAGGGGCCATGGGTGACAATGTTGTCAGACACTTTGTATTCATATATTCATATACTGTTTTGTAGAATGGGAACTTCTTTGTACAACTACTTGAAGATAATAATAAAAATATAAATAAAATTAAAAAAGAACAAACTCAGTTCAAACCATTAACTCTCAGAATATTTTTATGAATGTCTGTTGAATCACTAATCATCAATTACAAGTACTGAAACATTATGGATCCTTATATACAAGACCTGTTTTCCAAGTACTAGTTACTTTCTTCCAAGTACACATAAGAAGTAACACTTTTCACCTCTGGAGAAAAAGTTAGGTCTTTGGCCTGTGCAAATATTTTAAAGGTTAACCTATAAAAGTATTTCTAGTATGTCAAATAATTGTCAAGTTATGGAATTCTTTGCTGAATAAGATATAAAACAGGACATATACATTTTTAATTCTATCCCAAACTAATGGCCTCATTTTTCTTAATCCATTAAAAACAGTATCCTCTTCTCAACTAGTGTTATCACTGAACACCATTTATATGTTCTAAAAAACCAGTTCGATACTACATAAACCTAATTTATAGTTCATTATATTACACTGAATAAAGTATAGGGTAGTATGAACTTCTTATGTCCTTGTATAGGGTAAGAGGACTTATGGACAGAGTCAGATTAGTTCAGTCAATAATTGATTTGTAACCACAAAAGAAAGCAAGTATTTAAAAGTGCTGGAGTGCCTACCTACTAAGCACAAGGCCCTGAGTTCAAATCCTCTATGGCCCCTACCCCCCATCAAAAAAAAAAGAAAAATTAAAATGGCAGAGACAGTGTGTGTGTGTGTGTGTGTGTGTGTGTGTGTAGCACAAGGCCCTGAGTTCAAATCCTCTATGGCCCCTACCCCCCATCAAAAAAAAAAAGAAAAATTAAAATGGCAGAGACTGTGTGTGTGTGTGTGTGTGTGTGTACACACTTGAGCTTGAACGCAGAGCCTTGTGCTTGGCAGCCAGGCACTCAAGCATTTGGGCCACAGTGGTACTCCTGGCTTTTTGCTAGTTAATCAGAGATAAGGGTCTCATGGACTTTTCTGACTAGGCTAGCTTTGAACTGTGATCCTCAGATCTCAGACACTTTAAGTAGCTGGTATTACATGTGTGAGCCAACCAGCTCCTGGCTAAAAAGTCAACTTTCTGTTATCTGCCTAAAACATGCAAATGAAGGCACCAAAGCAGAAAGTAATCTGGTATTTTTTATCTGAGACAGGTTCTCCTCTCCTCGACTTATAATTTCCTAACCCTATTCTTTTTCCTAGCCATAACGAAAGTTTTCTCTAAAACTGCAAGGACTGCTATGTCCTACAAACAGGCCAGCAAAAAACTCTTACTTTGGTTAAATCATAGCACAACACTCAGATCTTTCCGCCTAAGCCTTTTCTTAAGGCAAATTTTTGGAAACAATTTCCTTTAAACAAATTTCATCTGTCTTCTATGAAAACAGTATTAGGTCAGAAATCTCAAGAGATCTCCAATACATGCTAAGTCAGTAGTCTTTCTTACTCTAAGTGTGTTAGGCATGTTTAAACAAAATTAATGCCAGATAAAGAAAATGGCCAACGAAAAAGGAAGAATTCCTAATTTCTTATCATTTCTGGGAAGGGGGAAATCGTTCGTGTGTACAGTGAAGGAGGTTAAATGCTATGTAAACAGTAATGGTCCTAGCACTGTGGATACAGATTTCTATGAATGATTGGTAATGTTCAGGCATTTACCAATATTTTTTATGTGAGACTTAAGTAAATGGAATTTTAATTTAAAACGTCCTTCTTTTGAGTTCTAAAATTTTCTCCCTGCTCCTATTATCTTTATTTTCTGAAATGGGACTTACTCTGCAGCCCACACTGGCCCAGAACTCTAAATCTTCTTGCCTCATCCTCCCTAGTGTGGGGATTTTAAGTATGCATCAGGATGCTTCTTCCATCTTAAAAGGTTTTAATTAGTTATGAGGGCAAGCCATTTTGTCTTTTGTTATTAAATCTCTACTACCTAGCACATTAGTACATTAAATATTTGAGTGTTAAAATGGGGACTAGGTAGAGTTGAGTGATAGATCACTTGCCTAGCATGTACAAAGCCACAGGTCAAGCTCCGGTACTACAAAAACCAAACCAAAACAGATACTTAGGAAATGAAGATGAGGAATAATAAGTGAGAGCTATGAAAAGTTTACTGTGTAGGATTAAAAATCAACTTCACAGGGGTGGAGTACAAAGTTTAGTGGCAGAATACTTCCCTGACATGTACAAGACTCTGGGTTTCATACCCAACAACAACAACAACAAAATTCATCCTAATCCTTGTAACATGATAGGATAGGAATCCAAAATTTATACATGTTCATAATAAATAATACTGTAACTTTAAATAAGGCTTGTTTAGTATGATGTCTTCAAAATACACATACAAGCTTAATGTTAGTGGATGAGATTTTCTACATTAATACCAACATAAAACCTACAATGTGATCGAATACATGAAATGTATGTTCTTAACTAGAAAGCCAGTATAAACCAAAAATGTGTGTGTGTAACATGTTTTCTCTGCCTCTGTGGGTAAAATTATTGACAACCATCAACACCAAAAATTAATCAGTAAAGAGTAATTAATCAAAAATTAATTTAGTGAAATTAATGAAGGGCAATTCCATATTAAGCTTACATATTAAGCCTGGTTGTTTTCATAATAGTTACTATTTAACTAGACATTAACATTTATCTTCTTCAAAATATTTAACATAATAAAACATTTTACTTTTGAAAATTAAAGTCTCAATGAAAGAAAAAATTTCAAAACTATAGCAAAGTAGCTGGGCATCCAGGGCTCAAATCTGTAATCCTAGCAACTCAGTAGGCTGAGATCTGAAGGACTGTAGCTCAAAGATAGCATAGGCAGTAAAGTCTGTGAGACTCCATTTACAAAATAACCAGCAAAAAGCTGACCTGTGGGCATGGCTCAAGTGGTAAAGTGCCAGTTGGGTAAGCACAAGGCCAGGTTCAAACTCTAGTACCAGCAAAAATACCACCAAAGTATTAGTTTCTGAAATATCATACATCCAAGAGTTTATAAAGAATAATAAAGTAGGGGGCTGGAGGTGTGGCTCAGGTGGTAGAAAACAAGCCAATGAGCAAAAGCATCAGGTACTGAGTTTGAATTCTGGTCTTGGGGTAGTGGAGATGTGGGAGAGAATAAGAGGCTAAGCATGAATGATTCAGGCCTATAATCCCAACTACCTGAGAGACAGAGATCAGGGAGATTACAGTTTATGGCTAGCCCAGGCAAAACATTGGCAAGACATCATATCAACCAATAAGCTGGTAGCATACATCTAGAATCCCAGCTTCCTTGGAGACTAGGGTAGGAAGATCAAGGTTCAAAGCCAGATTTGGGTAAAAATGTGAGATCCTTTCTTTAAAATAATTAAAGCAAACAACAGGCTATGGTTCAATTAGCTGCATACTTGCCTAGAAAATTCAAAACCCTGAGTTCAAACTCTACACCACAAAAAAGAGTAATACAATCATATCACATCATTTGAAGATACTGTCCATTATTGAACAGTATTTTCTTCCCATCATTTTCTTGAGAGTTTAGTCTTTCATGTGTCCTAGAGGTTGGTTATACCATTGTCCCTGGAAACCTAGCTCACCACAGCCCACTTTGTCCTACCCATAATTAATAAATTCATGAATTCATAAATAACTAATAAAATTTTTACTGAAATCCTTGATAGGTCTTTAGTGCTACTCATACCAGAGAAAACCAGGACTTATGTGTACACACTAGAAACACAACTTTCCTTATTTTAAATTATAAAATACAATATTAAAATTTATTAATCAATAAGCATCCAATTCAGATGATATATCCTAAAATTGTATTTTTCTTTTTTTGAAGACCCCAAATTCATGATCCTCCTGTGTGTATCACCATGCCTGCCTCCAAAATTGTAATTTGATAAATTCATATTCCAGTGATGCCTGAGACTCTATAACCTGGAAATTCCAGGTTTTCATAAGCTCTTACTTATATTTGTTTTATTTATATAAGTAAGTCTTACTGTTTATGGCTTTCTCTATTCCTGAAGGATATATGACTTTTTTCTTAGTTCTGACAAATGAACATAATAACTGCACTAAGAACAGTGGATAATGTTAACATAAAAAACTTAAGTGCTGATTAAATGGTATTTATAATTTAAAAACTTAAAGTAAATGAAATAGTACAACACTATATGTAGCACATCTTGAGACTAGAAACTCTTACATATACAAACTTGAGCACATTATTCTGCAATTAAGGTATTTTTCAAAAGGATCATTTATTTATATCCCAAAATAACTGCCATCACCAATAATCCTGATCATTTTGTTAGTCCCAAATAAAAGTTCTCCAAATGGACAGGAAAGTTCAGTATTGTATACAGGTAAATCCTGTTCTCACTATCTTATTCCTTCCTTCCAAATATGGAATTGAATAAAGAGACAAAATAAAAACAAGTTTTGATTCTTGACATTAACAACTAATATAGTGCCTCACATGATATATGCTCAGTTTAGTCTTTAAACAAATAAGTTGTCTTGCATGTTAAGACTGTTTTTTTCAGTAACAGTAAGCAAATTCTTATCTCCAGGGAACAACCAATTAACTCAGAAAAGTCAAAATCTTCTTACCCACAATCAGGAGCTGGACACCACCTACAGTCAGGATCTGCAACAAGCCACCGTCTAAGCATAAACTCTTCATATTTTTCCATTAGGACATCATCACTTAGTATCAAACGAATGTCATGGGGATTGAACCGTTCAGTACACTCTGGGCAACTAATATTCACTCTACTTTCAGAGATTTCTATCCTTAGGTACTGTCGTAAGCAATCCACACAAGATCTGTGATGACAGGTCATTATATCAGGAAATCTGTCTTTAGAATGCCGCAAAAGGCACAAAGGACACTCTATAAAGTCTCCAATTTGTTTGCTGATCAATGTTAGTCCATTGTCAGAAGAGGTATTTGTAGAGAAAATGGAGTTCTTATCAGTACACATTTCAGAATGTATACTTTCAATACTCGCAATTCCATCCACCCCTCCATTTAGCTCCCTTGATTTACGTTTAGTATCCTTTTTCCTCCGAAACAGAGAGCCTATTGAAATTCTTCTTTTTTTCGGTGCCTTTTTGACTGAAGGCAAGCTCACAGATGAGGCAGAAGACTGAAGATCACGATCTGAACCCATTTGCCGATGTAAACTCATGTCTAAAATACTCATCAGAATTTAGTCAGGGCCAGTGGTTATACACAGCCCTTCATTATATTTAGAAGTAAAACTTATTTCTTGTTCTTGCATTCAGATTAAGTCATGATGTAACAAAATCCAACATGGCTCCCTCAGAGAATTCTTGAAAAAGTTCAGTTTATAGAAGACTATATCATGGATGTCCTGAAAAACAAAAACAAAAACTCAAGACCATTTAATTGTAATTTTTGTATGTTTTTATAAACAGATTCTCTGTGCAATTTCAAACAAGTGTGTTCTTCAATCATTAGATTAAAAATACTGACAGCCTACAGGTGAATATAAAATTAATTCTGAAATAGCAGTGAGAACGTTCTTTAATCTTAACAAAAGATTCTCTATATTTGAACTGACAGAGCATAGGATAGAAAAATGTTCCATATGTATGATATTTGAATTATGACCAAGGTAACATTCTTAGCACTGAGAATGGCCTTAAAAAATTACAGTGTTGACTGGTTTTTCATTTGAGAAAATAAAACAAGTTTAACCTATGGCTCACCTCATGTATAAAAATCAATTCCAAAGGCCAAATATAGTGGCTTACATCTGTAACCTCAGCTATTTGGGAAGTGGTGATCAAGAGGTTTGTGGTAAAAAGTTAGTGAAATCCTATATTTATCTGTTACCCTTGCTATATGAGAAGTATAATTAAGATGATCACAGTCTTTATTTTGCTGGGCAAAAATGTGATATCCTATCTGAAAAATTAAAGTAGGTACTGGTGGATCGTGCCTATAATCCTATAAACTTCAGAGGCTGAGACTGGGAGATTATAGTTCAAAGATAGCCCAGGCAGACATGTGAGACTACCCCCATCCAACCGATAGCTGAATGGAGTGATGCACATTTGTTATCCTAGCTATGTAGAAGGCTAAGATTGAGAGGAGAGCACTTCCAAGTCAGTTCAAGTAGAAAAGTCCATGAGACTCCATCTCAACAGAAGCAGCTAGGTGTGGTAGCATGTGCCTATCATCCCAGTTATAACAAAAAGCATAAAATAGGTGGCTTGAGGTACACAGTACACAGTACACAGCATAGGCCTCGGCAAAAAGTGAGGTTCTGTCTCATAAAAACCAGTGCAGAAAAGGGTAAGAGATGTGACACAGAGGCATAGTACCTACTCAGCAAATGCAAAGCACAGAGTTCAAACCCAGTACTGTTAAAAAATAATACTAATAAATTCCAGTAAAAAATACTGATGAAAAAGTGTCATTAGTGTCATTAAAATACCAAAAAAATCAATACCATTAATGTATTAACTCCAAGTGACTCATAGATCTAAATGTAAACAATAAAACGATGACACTTTTAGGAAACAGAAGAAACTGAAATATTTTCAATAAAAAGATGCCCTTAAACAGAACATTATTGATAATCATAAAAGAAAAGATTGATATATTGATCTATAATAAAAGTAAGGGACAGTACACTAAGGGTTTGGAGAAGACTTGTGGTATATATAACTAATAAGGGAATGATACCCTAAATACACAAAAAGTTACAAATCAATAAAAGTAGACAAACCCAACAGATAAATGGGAAGAGGACTTAAGAGGCACTTAAAGTTGTAAGAAAATGATCAACATCATTAGTCATAAGGGAGAAAAAATTAAAGCCACACTGAGAAGTTACTATATACTTAATAGTTAAAATTTAAAAATTGGTATCTGCAGTTGTCCACAAGGATATGGAAGAATGGGAACTCTCTCATACTGGTGTTAGGAATATAAAATGGTACATAAAATAGCCCATCTATACTTTGGAAATCTGTTAAGAATATCTACCAAATATGAACATTCACTCTTATTACCACTTCTAGATAGGAGTACACAAGTTCTCTTCTATATCATTTTCTAATAACGCATGCATGAAGGTATCCGATGGTGCACATATAACAATGTTCCAAACAGTATTAGTTATAATAGTCAATAGAGAAAAAGCCCACATTTCCATCAAGAGTAGAGCAGATGAACAAGTTGTGGTATATTTGCACTAAGGCATATCATAAAATGAAAACACTGCTACATATGAAGTAACGAATGCCACATAAAAGAAGGTGTGCTATAAAATGTCACTCAGGTAAAATTCAAAATAGGCAGAACTAATCTATAATATTAGAAGTCACAACCTTGGGGTGATGGTAAAATAGGAGCTTTCTTAACATGTGCATGAGGAATTACAAAGGTAATTCTGTGTTGTCACTGATCTACAAATTCCTAATGTACTTTTTTGATACATGTTACACCACAATATGAAAAGAAAGAGATGGAAGGATAGGGAAGGAAATTAAAGAAGGAAAAGAAAAAGAAAGAGGCTATCCATCTATCAGGCTCACACCTGTAATCGTAGCTATTCAGAAAGTTGAGATCTGAGGTCTGAGGTTTAAGCCAGGAAGACAATTTCTCGAGACTCCTTCCCAATTAACCAGCAAAAAGCCAGAACTGGAGGTATAGCTCAAGTGGTAGAGTACCACTTCTGAGCAAAAAAAGCTCAGAGAATGCACAAGGCTGAGTTCAAGCCCCAGTACAAACATACACATATATGCATGCGTATGCACACGTGTAAACATAGATACACAGCAAGAAAGAAAACAAGAGGTAGAGATCTGGAGAATCATGGTTTAAGGCCAGCAGGGGTTCAAGTTGGTGTGGTGAGATACTCATCTCAACAAATAAAGAGGGCATGGTGACAAGCCTGTAATCCTACTCGGGAGGAAAAATTATAGTCTGAGGCAAGCCTGAGAAAAATATGAGACTCTACCTGAAAAATAAAGCAGAAAGAGTTATTGGAATGGTTCAAGTGGTAGAGTTCTTGACTAACAAGTTCAAATTCCAGTACTGGAGGGGGGGGGAAGTAGAGATCTGCTGGGTATGAATGAACACATTTAATTCAAGCACTCAAGAGACTGAGGAAGAAGAATCATGAGTTCAAGGCCAACCTGGGTTACACAGGAGGTCTAAAGCCAGCTTGGAATACATAGTAAAACTTGTTTTAAAAGAGAAAAACAAAAACAAACAAACAACAACAACCCCCCCCCACCACCAGGGACTGCTGGTCTTTCCAGCTTAATTCAGAGAGGAGGCTGAGATCTGAAGATTGTGGTTTAAAGCTAGCAGTCTGTGATTCAGATTCATGTAGGCAATTAACTACAAAAAAAAAAGCCAGAAGTGGAGCTGTGGATCAAGTGGCAGAATGCTAGCCATAGCACAAAAACTCAGGGACTACAGCTAGGCCCAGAGTTCAGCAAAAAAGAAAAAAATAAGTAAGGATTAAATATTGATTTCTAAAGAATTAGCCATTTATGAGTTATCTGGACCATAGTTACTGAATAATGATCTCCACCCTATCTTCACTGATTCAATAAAATTTCTTAGTGGATTAATCTCCTATGATCTAAATGATACAGGCTTCTGATGTTATTATTTATTTTATTTTTTTTTGTTTGTCTTGGGGCCTGAAGTCTGAACCTGGGTGCTGTCCCTCAGCTCTTCAGTTCAAGGCTAGCGCTCTACCACTTGAGCCATAGCACTACTTCCATTTTCTTCTGCTTATGTGGTGCTGAAGAATCGAACATAGGACCTCACGCATGCAAGGCAAGCATTCTACCACTGAGCCATCTTCCCAGCCCCTGATCAGGCTTCCAATTGTTTTCTTCCAATTTGTACCAACCGACATAAAAGTATTTATGTCTCACAATTCTCACCAACACCCTTCATTACATCAATAGTTCTGTGTTCATTTTGTGTAATGTTTTCCTCATTCTTAGCTTAACAAATTTTTTTTTTTTTGGTCGGTCGTGGGGCTTGAACTCTGGGCCTGAGTGCTGTCCCTCAGCTCTTCAGCTCAAGGCGAGAGCTCTACCACTTGAGCAACAGCGCCACTTCTGGTTTTCTGGTGGTTTATTGGAGATAGGAGTCTCATGGTCTTAAGTGCCCAGGCTGGCTTTGAACCGCGATCCTCAGATCTCAGCCTCCTGAGTAGCTAGGATTACAGGCGTGAGCCACCAGTGCCCGGCTAGCTTAACAAATTTTTATCGATCTGTCTTCAGTTTTACTTTTTCTTCTGCTATCTGGACTCTACTGTTAAATCCATCCAGGAAAAAATTCATTTTAGATACTGTACTTCTCATTACTAGAGTAACTACTCCTTTTTAGTTTCCATTTCCTCACTGATATTATCCAACTGTTCAGTTATTTATCTCCCTTAAGTCCTTAAAATACTAGTGTTGCTTTTAAAAATCTGTCTGCTAACTTTGCTACTTACCATTTTTTTTGGATAGAGTAAAAAGTAAACTTTTATTAATGCTCCTAGTAATTGCTTATTATAAGCTGATATTGTATATGATGTATTGTAGAGACCCTGGAATCTCTCACTTTCTCAAGAGGAAAGATTTTTTTTTTCATTTTCAAATAATTAATATTTTCCTCATTAACTTTTCCCAAGTTATAACACACTATTCAATGATGTATTTCTTTGAAACTATTCATATAGAGAATACATATGAAAATAAAACAAAGAACTCCAGAATTTCCCATTCCTCTCATAAAAAAATACTTCAGACTTAAATTTTATAAGCTTAGCAGCATATACCACTATCTAGAAGATTCATGAGGGTCTAAATTTCATAGGCTTGCACAATACTAGGAAATTTTCTTTAAATTCTAAAACTGCAAATTCAATACTGTCAAGATTTATTGAACACAAACTACATAAAGACATATTTAATATTGGTTACATGGGCTGGGAATGTGGCTCCATGATAGAATGCTTGCCTAGCATGTATGAAGCCCCAGGTTTGATTGCTCAGTAACATACACAGAAAAAGCCAAAAGTGGTGCTGTGGCTCAAGTGGTAGAGCACCAGCCTTGAGCAAAAAGAAGTTCAGAGATAATGCCTGGGCTCTCAGTTCAAGCCCCAGGACTGGTAAAAAATAAATTAAAAAAAAAGTATTGATTGCCTGCAAAAACACCATGCAACATCTATTTTACATGTTAATCATATACATACTGGGCTAAATATAGAATGATCCATTGATGCTCTGACAATATAATGCATGTAATAATACTGTACAGAATCATTACTACTTAAATGGTTATGCATTCACTAATTTAGTGAAACAATTATTGAGATAATGCAGCTAT